GTTACCTACAGGGAGTTCCCCCCTTTCACTCCCCCCTCCCCCTTCCCACCACAATCAGAGTCCTCTCCATGCCCCAAAGGTTTACACAGAGCAGGCAAGTCCTGTTCTGCTTCTCTGGTCGCACTGGTGTAGTAGGATGGATCTGAAGAGCAGACAGCGGGGCTTAAAGTATTCTGCATGTGGTGGTGAAAGAGTTAACTTTCCAGGCTTCCAGGCAGGCAGGCATTCCCTCAAGTGACTTTCCCTTTACTTGCTAGACTTATGGATGAGCGCAAATAAGATCAATCCGACTTTATTTGAGGTTTTTTTTTTCTTTTATTTTTATGCAGAGCTCCTTAGCCACCCCCCACCCCGTTTCCCCCCAACAAGGGAAGAGAAGTGCAGTGGGTAGATAAGGTGGTGTCTGTTTCTGGGGACCCCGTGGGTGCACGTTTCAGGAGGGGAACCCCCAGCATCTTCTCACAGCACCAGCCAGTGTGTTTGGAGAGCTGGGGCTTTCCAGCCTGTGAATGGGTGCTTGTTTTCTTGGCAAAACCAGTCCCAGGAAGATCAGATATATCCCAGTGACAACAGCTCCCTGTTCTCTCCCATCGCCTGACCTCCTCTGGGGAAGAGCACAAATAAAGACTTAGCCCCCACCCCACCCCCCTTATGAAGGGGGAGAGGGGTTGCCGGGTTCCAGGAGGCTGACACTGGGGGGAGTGAAAGTCCACGAGTATTGGTCCAGTCCCTGAAGGTTTTCGATTTTTGGAAAAGCCTGTCTGTCTGGAATCCCAGGTAGCGATTCCCGTTGGAGCTGCACCTGGAAACCTCAATGAGCTGGAATAGTAAAGAGCCAGCTGAAGAGGATGTAAAAGTGTGGAAACTTCTCTAGGCTGCCATTAAGCAGACAAGAAGCTCATAAAAGCCAAGGAGGAGTAAAATGAAAAGAAATAAATCAAAGTTTCAGCTTCCATCCGGTTAGTGAGATTGTCGTAATTGTAATATGCACAGCCTATGCGCTGATACCTTTCAAAATGTTTTCAGTTGTGATGTAATTGCCAGAAACCTTCCCAGGGAAGTGCCAATTTAGTGAGTTGTGCTCATCGTCGGCTTTTTAATGAAAGTTGGGAACATTTTAAAATAATAGTCTGTCATTATGGAGTCCTTGGGTACACACATATAAATTGTATTAAGGCAAATCATGATAAATAGCATTTCATATTGATGTCTCCGTTCTGAGAGCGTCAGCAGGGTATTCCCTGAAGTTTAGCCTTCCTGACTGAGGCTGTGGTTCTTACATGGTTTGCAGGACTGGTTTAATCAAATAATTGAAGCTGAATCCTTTTCGTTCAAGCTCCGAAGACCCTTGCCCTCCTTTCTTACCTTAACTATCATATCTTTCATACCATAACCACTAAAATTGATCACCCAGTTTGAACTTGAATCTTAAACTAATTGAATAACTTTCGCACTGCTTTAAGTGATTAGCTCAAAGCTTCTGGCTTTAAGGGGAGATTTTTAACACATCGAACGTATGACATCTGTTGTATCAAGGAGTAAAGGACCTCGGATTCAAAATATTTCTGGCTTTTAATGTAATTCAAGCTATAAAATATCACTCGTTAGACCTCTACTTTAGTTTGTCTCTTGAAAGATCTTGGAAAGAGCGAGAAAAGAAGAGTACATCTTTGGCAAATTTAAAACTCCATTTAAGAAATGGTGCCAGGCATTGCCAGCAGGGCTTATTAGGGTCAGGATTTGGATGGGAGACAACGCAGGGAAGTCTGAGACAATGTAGGAAACAATCAGAATGGTATATGTCAGAGGTTTGAGTACTCAACTCATGTTAACTAATGAGTTTTCTCTCTCTTAAGCCTCTTTTTCTTGTAAGGACACCTTCTCCCTGCCCTCTCCTTCTTGCCTGCTTGCACACCAATTGGTTTGGGGGGGTGTTTTTCTGATGTGTATGTACAGATGGTGGAGGAGGAGACATAGTCTGTATCTAGGTCCTCCAAAACAAAGTTGGCCCAGATTCACAGGTGAGACAAAGTTTTAAATATTTTTTCAAGGGAAGAAAGGCAGAAAGAAACTGCCCCCTCCCAACTTTATGACATCAAAAGCAGTGGAGACCTGAGTTCCAGTTCTTGTTTGTGTTTTACATAAGCGGGTATTGTGATTGTCAAGTGCGGTACACCTGTTTGGCACGCTCATCTCAGCACTTTCCCCCTAGAGCCATGGTTGGCAAACTGTGGCTCTGGAGCCACATGCGGCTCTTTGGCCCCTTGAGTGTGGCTCTTCCTAAGCCTTAGGAGTACCCTAATTAAGTTAATAACAATGTACCTACCTATATAATTTAAGTTTAAAAAATTTGGCTCTCAAAAGAAATTTCAATCCTTGTACTGTTGATATTTGGCTCTGTTGACTAATGAGTTTGCCGCTCACTGCTCTTTACTCTAGAAAACAGATTCTTAAAAATGTCTCTATCAACAGCTTCTAAACATCATCCAACCGCCACTGCCCCCCCCTTTCCCCCCACAGCCAAGGTTGAGAACCACTGCTCTAGAGCTAGAGCTAGAATCCACTACCTAAACCTGAAGAGAACATAGGGACTCTCATTTTTTTTTTTTAATTTGTCTTCCCCTGTAGTCTCCCACCCCCCAATCCATTCAGGGCCACAGGCAATACACATCCTAGGAATTCATCTCTCCTTCAGCTAAAAGCCTTTATAAGTGGGGCTTCTGATGACAAGAATACCTGCATGGGAGGTGTAAATGTATGGTAATTATAGGCTGCCTGTCAGACTCCTGGGGAATTCTGGATGGTTCTCTCACCTCCTTTCCGCCCCCTCCAGCTGTTGGACTTGTGGAGCTGGGTAAAGACAGGGCTGTTTTGCCTCATGGTGGGTGTGATGTGATTCCTCTGCGCTGCAGTCTAGCTTGATGGGAACTGTTTGCTAGAGTTGGTGGAACACCTGGGGGGGGATTTTCTGGCATGAAAGGTGCTGGGTATGAATCATTTGTCATGAGCTTGGTGTCATAAGCAAGAACATATTGTTGCTACCCTGCTCATCCCAGGCATGCTGTGCCCTGATCTAAATTTATACAGCATCCTTAGTTCGTTCAAATATATACATATTTGTCTATGTATGTATGTGTGATGGGGCATGTGTTTATTCCTTATTTCCAAAAAAATTTCAAAGTGCCACGCTCATTAATCCTTATAAAGTCCTTGTTAGGTAATAGGTAGGTGGCAAGTGTTAATATCTCTTTCATATTTTTATGCTGGAGTCAATTTAAATATTTCAATTCACCGCCAAGTCCACTCCTTACTGGAAACAGTATTATATGATTTGTTAACAGAAGCTTTTACTTGACATATTTGGCCATTATGGAATCTTTAATGCTGCATTTCTCATCGATCATGAGAGTTTGGTTGACTCCCATGTACCTATTTCCTTCAGTTGTCCTAGGACTTGACATTTACCATCCACCCTATTGAATAAACTGAGTTGAGTCCCATCTTGGGTCAGGCCTTTAGGTAGATGCTTTGCATTCCGTCATCATCTCACTTAAGTTTGACAAAAATGTGTTATTAGTAGATGTTATTCCCATTACATAGAGGAGGAAACTGAGGCTTCCTTAGGCTAAAGGACCTGCCTAAAGGATACAAAAGGTCCCTGGCAAAGCCAGAGACCAACACCCAATGTGATCTGACTCCAAAAACCCCATGGAATGGCTTGTCTTAAAGACAGTAAGGTGTGGGGGGGGCAATAGGGGAGGGGAGGGAGAATAAGGAGGGGACATCTATAATACTCTCCATAATAAAGATAAGTTTTAAAAAAAATAAGTTAAAAAAGATCTTAAGGTAGGACAGAAAAATTCAGACATTTTGGAGTCTGTATTTTCAATAATCCTATCTCGGATGGATTTCAGATGCTGGTGGAGGAGGCATCGTCTTAGCTCAAAGCTCCAGGTACTTGTAGAAAAGCAGGGACTGTAAAATGTGCCTGTCACATCACACTCTTTACCTTAAGTAGTGGTTTGGTTGTTCTCTTATCCACCCACCTCTTCATCTTTGGTGAGACATGGGATCTGCAACTGGTGATTCATTAAGCATGAGGTAGCTTGCCTTCCTTCAGCGATCAGATGATCAGATCTGGTGTTCTTTTCAGGAACAAATTCCTTTTCTAAGTTAATTACATACCTGACTTTATGCAGAAGTTAGAAATAAACACTTGATTTGATTATACATTTTGACATAGATTTCTTTCTAAAGATTTTTAAAAAAGATTTTAGCTTTCTCTAGAAGCCCACACCATCCCTTCTCTGTTCAGTGCTCCATGCTATTAATGAATGTCACTGTGGTGTGACATGGGTGGCAGTGGGTTTGGAAGCAGACAGATTTGCATTTGAATGCTAGCTCTCCTGCTTACCTGCGCTTTGCCTTGATCAAGACACTTAAGTTCTCTGAGCTTCAGTTTCCTTAACTAAAATATGGGGAGAGAACATCTTCTGCAGCTTTTTTCCCCCTGAAGACTTGACTTGTATATGAAGTAAGTGGCTGATACATAGTAAGTGCTTAATAAATACTAGTTTGTATGTTAGTTGTAGAAATAATTCTGTACTGGGGATGAAGAATCCTAGATTATAGTCCCGACTATAGCAGAGATTACTAATGTAGTAGCAGCTTGTTAAAATGGAGTGGTCTCAATTTTGTCCCTTATACAATGGCACTAACAGACTAGAGTACCACTGAAATCCCTTACAGGTTAAACTTAATTTAATAGTTTGTTCAGGTTGTAGGGATTGTGCACATACTACATTTAAGTGGAGTGCACTAGGAGTGTTGGATGTAGAAATGAAATAGTGACCCATACCCTTGACCTGTCAG